TCGATATCTGACATTCACAAAATCACTCAATTTTACATGCTCGTTGTTCTAAAACATTTATTTCATTAAGATAAGCACTGTTGAACAACAAAATGCAACATTCACCAAATGACTCGAAATGTGAAGCTGGTTGTAGTGAAATGCGTTTTTCAGTCAGATAAGCACGTTGGACTACTATAATCTCACATTCACCAAATGACTAAAATTGTGATGCTGGCTGCAGTGAAATGATTGTTTCAGTGAGATAAGCATTCTTGCACATCAAAATCTCACATTCACCAAACGATTCAATTTTACATGTTGTTTGTACTAAAACGCTGATGTCAGTGAGATCAGCACATTGGAACATGAAAATCTCACATTAACTAAATGACTGAAAAAATGATGCTGGTTGTGTTAAAATGCTTATTTCAAAAGATAAGCACATTTGATCATCAATATCTGACATTCAACTAATGGCTCAATTTTACATGAGTCATTTGGTGAATGTGACAGTTTCATGTACAAACAGTCTTTCCTCACTGAAAATAAGCATTTCACTATAACCAGCTCCACATTTCGAGTCATTTGGCGAATGTGAGACTTTGTTGTTCAAGAGTGCTTATCGCAAAGAAATAAATGTTTTAGAAGAAAGAGCATGTAAAATTCAGTGATTTGGTGAATGACAGATATTGATGTTCAAATGTGCTTATCTTACTGCAATATCAATTTTAACACAACCAGCATCAAATTTTCAATCATTTAGTGAATGTGACATTTTCATGTTCCAATGTGCTTATATCACTGCTCTCAGTGTTTTAGTAGAACCATGATGTAAAATTGTGTCATTTAGTGAATGAGAGATTTTGATCTACAAATGTGCTAATGTCACTAATATAAACATTTCAGTGACACATGCATCACATTTAGAGTCATTTGGTGAATGTGAGATTTTGATCTAGAAATGTAGTTATCCCATTTAAATAAGCGTTGTATTACAAGCAGCATCAAATTTTGAGTCATTTTGTGAATGTGAGATTTTGACGTTCCAATTTGCATATGTCACTGACATCAGCGTTTTAGTACAACCAACACATAAAATTGAATCATTTGGTGAATGTGACATTTTGATGTACAAATGCGCTTATCTGACTGAAAGAAGCTTTTCAGTGTATCGACCATCAACTCTTGAGTCAGTTGGTGAAAGTGAGATTTTGATGTACAACTGTGCTTGTGTTGCTGACATAAGCATTCTAACACAACCAGCATCAACGTTTGTGTCATTTGGTGAATGCGACATTTTGATGTGCAAACGTGCTTATCACACTGAAAGAAGCATTTTAGTGCAACGTGCATCAAATTGTGAGTCATTTGATGAATGTCAGATTTTAACGGTTCAACATGCCTATCTCACAGAAATAAGCACTTCATTACAACCAGCATCAAATTTTGAGTCGTTTGGTCAATGTGAGATTTAGTTGTTCAACAGTGCTTATCTCGCAGAAATAAATGGTTCAGAACAATGAGCGTGTAAAACTGTGTGATTTGGTGAATGCCAGATTTTGATCTGTAAATGTGCTTATCTCACTGAAATGAGCATTTTAGTTCTAATTGAATTAACTTTTGAGTCATTTGCTAAAAGTGAGATTTTGATGTGCCAATGCGATGATCTCACTGACAGAAGCATTTTAGTGTCTCCAGCATCATATTTTGTGTCACTTGGTGAATGTGAGATTTTGATGTACAAGTGTGCTTATCTTATGAAATCAGCATTGTAACACAAACAGCATCAACTTGTCAGTAATTTGGTGAATGTGACATTTTAATCTACAAACGTGCTTATCTCACTGAAAGAAAAATTTTGGTACATTCCGCATCAAACTTTGAGTCATTCGGCAAATGTCAGATCTTGTTGGTCCATCGTGCTTATATCACTGAAAGAAGCATTTTAGTGTATTGCGCATCAAATTTTGAGTCATTTGCTGAATGTGAGATTTAGTTGTTCAACAGTGCTTAATTCACTGAAATAAATGTTTTAGAACAATGAGCATGTAAACTTGAGTGATTTGGTGAATGCCAGATTTTGATGTGTAAACGTGCTTATCTCACTGAAATAAGCATTTTAGATCCAACTGAATTAACGTTTTAGTCATTTGCTAAAAGTGAGATTTTGATGTGCCAATGTGATGATTTCACTGAAAGAAGCATTTTAGTGTCTCCAGCATCATATTTTGTGTCACTTGGTGAATGTGAGCTTTTGATGTGCAAATGTGCTTATCTCACCGAAACAAGCATTTCACTGCAGCCAGCATCACATTTTTAGTTTTCTGGTGGATGTGACATTTTGATGTACAAATGCGCTTATCTGACTGAAAGAAGCATTTCAGTGTATCCACCATATACTCGAGTCATTTGGTGAATGCGAGATTTTGATGTACAACTGTGTTTATCTCCCTGACATAAGTGCTTTAGTACAACCAAGATGCAAAATTGAGTTATTTCGTGAATGTGCGATTTTGATCTACAAATGTGCTTATTTCACTGAAATAAACACTTCAGTACAACTAGCATCACATTCAGTGTCATTTGGTGAATGTGAGGTTTTGATCTAGAAACGTGCTTATCTTAACAAAATAAGCATTTTAACACAACCAGCATAAACTTTTCAGTCATTTTGTGAATGCGAAATTTTGATGTACAAATGCACTTATCTGACTGAAAGAAGTATTTTAGTGTAACCAGCATCAAATCTTGAGTCATTTGGTGAATGCGAGATTTTGAAGTACAACTGTGCTGCTCTTGCTGACATAAGCATTCTAACGCAACCTGCATCAACGTTTGTGTCATTTGGTGAATGTGACATTTTAATGTACAAATGTTCTTATCTCATGGAAATGAGCATTTCAATACAACTACCATCACATTTTGAGAATGTCTTTGAGAATATCAGATTTTTGATGTGCAAACGTGCTGATCTCACTGAAATAAGTATTTTAGTACAAACTACATTAACTTTTGAGTCATTTCATAAAAGTGAGATTTTGATGTGCAAATGTGGTGATCTCACTGAAATAAGTATTTCAGTACAACTACCATCAGAATTGGAATCATTTGGTGAATGTCAGATTTTAATGGTCCAACGTGCTTATCTCACTCAAATAAGCATTTCACTACAACCTGCATGACCTTGAGTCATTTGATGAATGTGAGATTTAGTTGTTCAACTGTGCTTATGTTACTGAAATACAAGCATGAAAAATTGAGTGATTTGGTGAATGTCAGATTTTGATGTGCAAATGTGCTTTTCTCACTGAAATATGCATTTTAGAAACAAACTGCAACAACTTTTGAGTCATTTGGTGACTGTAAGATTTTAATGTGCAAATGTAGTGATCTCACTGACAGAAGCATTTTAGTGTATCCAACATCAAATTGAGTCATTTGGTGAATGTCAGATTTTGATGGTCCAACGTGCTTATCTTACTGAAATAAGCATTTGACTACAACCAGCATCACCCATTGAGTCACCACCGACCCTCTGACAGGGCATCGCTCCCTATCCCCATAACCCCACATTCACCATAGTTAACTCACGCAGACATTCACCCTACAATTCAGCAATACTAATGCGTCTAGCCTACACGTCTTTGGACTAAGGGAGGAAACCAGAGCAAACCCACACTGACACGAGGTGACCACGCAAAGGGCGCGCAACCCAAGGCTGGAATCAAACCCAGATTCGTGGCACTGAGGCAGTAGTACTAACCACTATGATGTGCTATCCTTAGAATGGAAAAAGTATGAACAAAAATAACATTACCAAATGCAACAAATGCAATTTTTTTTTTTAAAAAAAAAAGCAACTTCATTTGATTGGAGTAGATTGTACATATAGCCAAAATTATACAGATGCACAGAATTCACAATATATGTATCAGAATGAAATTGGATAAGTATTTAAGTGGTTTTCATTATTGAAATCATTGTTAAGTTCTCTAACTTAAAAGGTAAACCTACAAAAAGCATGGCAGGTGTAAAAACAAATCTCAGTAAAATCAGAAAAGGCATCAAGAAACAGCAAGTTCAGTGCTGCAATTATCCTCCACAGTTGCTAGTACTTCTTGACTGTTGACAATTGCTAAAATAGGATTTGAGATCTGAAATGCATCTGCTTTGTAGCATTATTGGACAATGCTGTCTTCAACATCCACTTGGATTTCATTCTTTGTACATATTGCATATCCCGCTCTTTTCTCCGAGATACTGCTTTTGCTGTAAAGAAAAAGAGCGAACATAAAAATCACTGTCACCACTTTATAACCAGATAATTTGTGCTAATTCTGATGTTTTAAAGGAAAAAAGTGAAATGGCTATGTATTACCAACCTTAACATTTCCAACAGAAAATACCTTAAAGTTTAATTTTATTAGAAAATGGAATCCACAAGTGAAATTTTCCACAAAATTCAAATGTTTCAAACACTCAAGGTACATTCAAGTAAACACACGAGAAGTTCAGCTCACTTTATTTAATGTGTCAGTTAGCAGAACAATTCTTTTAAATCAAGAAGCACAAGTGATAAAGATTCATACATGCATTTTACAGCATTCCAGACTGGTCAGAGCTGAACAACCTCCGCCTCCATTTTGTTTCCTTTTCTGCAGGTTTTTTTTTTGCTTATTCTTGGCGTCCCCCTCCTCCCACTCCATTTAAACAATCATGTTCATCACCCTTTCATTCACAGCTCATGTAGACATCTTTTCATAGAATCCCATATAGTGTGGAAGCAGGCCATTCAGTCCATCAAGTTACACTGACCCTCCAAAGAACATCCCATCCAAACCCACCCCCTACCCTATCCCAGTAACCTTGCATTCCTCATAACTAATCCAGCTAGCCTGTACATCCCTAGACACTATGGATAATTTAGCATGGCCAATCCACCTAACCTGCACATCTTTGGCCTCTGGGAGAAAACCAGAGTACCTGGAGGAAACCCACGCAGACACAGGGAGAATGGCAAACTCCACACAGATAGTTGCCCAAGGATGGAATCTGGCACTGAGCCACTGTGCCACCCTTATTGCAAAATCTTAAATCACATTTTTAAACTTTTCCCAGTTGTGATGAAACATCATAGAGCTAACATTTCAAATCAATCTCTCCCTCTACAGATGCTGGCTAACCCAAGTATTTCCAGGAGGTTTCCAATATTCATAATATTTTGTTTTTGACTTACCAAGCTCACTTGACCAGCCTAATGTCTTGTACTGCTGTAGCACTCTGCCTAAGATGCAAGCCCCAGTAGCAGCCACTGCTCTGGAGGTACCAAATTGTTGTTTATAATATCTCAGCAATGATCGATGACCAATTCTGGCACCTGTGAAAATTAAACAAAATAAAAAGTGCAAATTAAGCAAGCATGTTTAATTTATCCAATCTTTATTCAGTTTGATGCTTGAAGCACCTGGGAAATCACCTGGGTACCATTGTTGTTACAAAAAGCAAAACAAATCCAACTCAGCCAATCCCACTAGTCTACTCTCAATCAAAATGATTGAGGGCATTGTCAACAGGGTTACCAAGTAACTCTTACTTGACAAAACACAATGATGTTCACCAGGCCCACTCAGTTCCTGACCTCATTACAGCTTCGGTCCAAAAAATGGAAAGAAAGTTGAACTTCAGAGTTGAGGCAAGATGACTGGTGTTGGTGTCAAGGCAGCATTTGACAAAGTATGGTATTCATGAGGCTGAGCCAAACTTAAGTCAGTGGGAATCAAGGGAAAATAAATCTCTTCTGGTTGGAGTTATTGATGTCAATCATCTCAGCCACTGGACATCACTGCAGAATTCAAGGCAATATCCTAGGCCCATCTTGAACAGGTCTATCAATAACTTTCATCATATAGTCAGATATGGGATGTTTGGTAACAATTGCACAATGTCCATTTACGAACTTATTCCAGATAGTTAGCATGGCTTTATGTGGATGAGGTCTTGTCTCAAATTTGATGTCATGAATGTTATCTATATGGACTTTACCAAAGCATTTGGCAAGGTCCCTCATGACAGGCTGGTCCTGAAGATTAAGTTGCATGGCATCCACAGCAAGTTGGCAAAAGTGGCTTGGTCATACAGTCATAAAAGCGGCAGTTCTGAAAGATGTTTTTCTGCCTGGAGGCTTGTAACCAGTGGTATTCTGCAAGGATCAGTGCTGGGATCTCTTTGTAATATTAGTACGTAATATGATTTTCATGAAAATGTGGTCCGATTAGCAAGTTTGCAGGTGACATGGAAATTAGTAGAGCTGTGGATAGTAAGGAAGGTTATCAAAGGATGCAGGCCAATTAAAAAGTGGGGAAAGAAATGGCAGATGGAGTTTAACCTGGATAAATGCAAGGTGATGCATCTTGGGGGATCTAATGCAAGAGGAAAGCATGCAGTAAACAGCAGGACCTTTAGGAGCACTGATGAAGGTTTTTGCATCTTGTCTCGCCACTGGAGGTCCCCGAGGATTGGCAAGTTGCTAATGTTGTTCCTCTGTTCAAGGGAACTAGGGACATCCAGGAAATTATAGACCAGTGAGTCTTACATCATGGTTGTGATGCGAATGGAGAAGATTTTCAGGGATAGGATTTACCCACATTTGGAAAAGTAGGGCTTAATTAGGGACAGTCAGCATGGTTTATTCAGAGCAGGTCATGTCTTACTAACTTGATTGATTTCTGAGGAAATGACAAGGGTGATCGACGACAATATGGATGTTGTTTACATGGATTTTAGTAAGGCTTTTGACAACGTCCCTCATGGGACCCTCATTTAGAAGATTAAAGACGCATGAAATCCATGGTGACTTGGCCACGTGGATTCAGAATTGCTTTGTCCACAAAAGACAGACGGTTGTGGTGAAAGGGTATTTTTCTGGTTGGAGGTCCGTGACTAGTGGCATTCTGCAGGGATCCAAACAGGGATTCTGCTATTTGTGATATACGTTAAGTGACTTGGATGAAAACATAGATGAGTGGGTTAGTAACTTTGCAGTTGATACAAAGATCAGGGGACTAGTGGACACTGTAGAAGGTTGTCAAAGGTTATGGTGGGATATAGATGAGTTGCAGATATGGGCAGAGAAATGGCAGATGGAGTTTAATCCAGGCAAGCATGAGGTGTTGCACTCAGTAATTAAATGTTAAGGCAACATAAAGGCAGGACCCTGAACAGTAATGATGTGCAGAGGGATCTTGGGGTCCTAGTCCATAGCTCCCTAAAGCAGCCACACAAGTAGACAGGCTAATAAAGGTGGCATACGGCATGCTTGTTTTTAATTGGTTGGGGCAGAGTAGAAGAGAGTCAGGAAGTGGAATTGCATCTGTATAAAAGTCTGATTAGGCCACACTTAGAATACTGCTTTCAATTCTCTGGTCACCACACAACAGTGGAGGCTTTAGAGAGGATGCAGAAGAGACTGGATAGAAGTTTATAAAATTATGAGAGGCACACATAAGGTTGACTGTCAGAATCTCTTTCCCAGAGGTGGAAGAGGGGCATGCATTTAAGGTAACAGGAAAGTTCGAAGGAGATGAGGGCAAGTTCTTTTTTGAAAAAAAAAGAGTGGTATGTGCCTGGAACATGCTGCCAGGGGTAGCTGTGGAGGTAGATACAATAGCAGTATTTAAGGCATTTTTTTTTTTTTAATAAGTGCATGAATAAGCAATGAATGGAAGCTACTGACCATGAGCAGGCAGAAGGGATTAATTTAACTTGCCATCAGGTTCTGTACAACATCATGGGCTAAAAGGCCTGTTCCTCTGCTGTACTGTTCTATATACAGAGATCTTGGGGTGCAAGTCGATAGCTTTCTGAAAGTGGCAAAACAAGCGGATGTGGTAGTAAAGGCATGCTGGCCTTCAGTTGTGGAATTGATTACAAAAGTTGGCAAATCATATGGTGACTGCATAAGACTTTAGTTTGGCCACATTTGGAGCAGTGTGCGCAGTTCTGGTCACCACACTACTGGAAGGCTTTGGAGAGGGTGCAAGAGAGGTTTACCAGGATTGGAGTGGATTAGCTGTAAGGAGAGGTTGGATAAACTTGAACTGATTTTGCTACAGTGAAGGCTGAAGGGCAACCTGATAGAAGGATATAAAATTGAGAGGCTGGTGGAAGGCCACTCAGGATAGCTGGGGGTCTTTCTCTCCCTCCCTCCCCCAGGAGGAAATATCAAATACTAAGGGGCATAGGTTTAATGTAAGAGGGGAAAAGTTTGAAGAGAGGAGCAAAGGCAGTTTTTCTAAAAACAGGAAAATGTGTTAGTTTAAGAGGCAGTCAGACATCAACAGGTTGGGATTAGAGAGACATGGATCATGTGCATGCAGATGGGATTAGTTTAGAACAGTTGGTGCAGATTTCAGTGAGGTAAACACTTTGGAACATCAAGCTGGGTTGAAGCGCCTGTTCCTGTGCTGTACGGTACTGTTCTATGTTCTATGTTCTATTAAAAGCACTTCCTGCCACCAAAAATTCCATGTGAGCACAAAACTCTTCCTCAAAAATGTACAATCAGGAGAAGTCCAAGTATTATAATTTCTATCGGAGATCCTATTAATCAGGAATATTCATCATAAATAGGAAACTACACAAAAAAGTGTCAGATAGATGCCATGACATTTTTCTTTATCGAAAGTCCTACTCAGAGGTAACGATAACTTATGACTTGATTTCTTAACCAGCACCGAAAATGAATTTCAATGCAATGATCTAGCTTTTCTATAGAAAAAAAAGTGGTTCAGAACAGGGAGCTGGACACAGCAAGTCCCTACTGCTGAAACCCAGAGATTTCTGGGTCAGTAATGGATTGGTGAGTTAAGATTTTTTTCCTGTTTCTACATAGGTTTGAACCAAGACCAGGAATGTATATTAAACTATATTAAACATATAGCCCAATTATTACATAAAGAAATTGATGAATTATTTGTAGTTAGTGGGGAAGTGATATAGTGATAGTATCATCACTGAACTTGCAATCCAGAGCTTCTGGTTACATGCCCTCTGGGGACATGGGTTCAAACCTTTAAGGCAGATAGTGAAAGTCTAATTGAATTAATAAACATGGAATTAAAAGCTAGTCTAACTGTAACCACGAAAATCATTGTCAATTGTCGTAAAGACACATCTGGTCTACTTTTCTGGAGCAAAATCTAATATCCTCACTTAGTCTGGCCTACCTGCAACTCCATACCCACAATGTGTTTGGTTGATCTTTAGCTGCATTTAGACTCAGTTGACTCAAAATTGAGAATGGACAGTAACTGCTAACAACACCTTTCGCGTGAAAAAATAAAACAAGGCTTTAATTAAATAAAACAAAACAAAGGCAAGTCCAAGATACAACAAAACATGGCTATGGACAGAGTCCAGAGTAAAATGTTGGATGTCTCCAACTTACTCTGGAATGAGAAATGGAGAGACTCCCACCTAGATAGGAAAGGGAAAACATGCTCAGGAGGCAGGTACCATGCGTTGACAAAGAGATGGAGATTCTACCAATGTTAGTTTTCTCCAAAAATGTACAATAACCTCACCATCTGAGAATAAGAGACAAGGAGAAGTTAGCCAAAATGGAGAGGGGCACCAAAGCTGTCCAGGGTGGGAAAGAGCATAATAGGAGATGTGGTAGTAATAGGGGACTCAAACAAAAAGGGATAGATAGCATCCTTTAAAGCTGCTCCAAGAATCCCACAAACTGTGTTGCCTACCAAGAAGTCCTCCAAAAACCAAAAAAAAAAGTACTCTCTAAACAGAAGTGATAAAGAAGGGAGGTGCCAAAAAGGGATCCACAAGAAATACAAACAACCCACACGTAAATAAAAACAGAGCAGGTAAACACAGGGAAGACACTGTTAACAAGGAAGTACAATTATAGAACTAGAGTTTAGTAAGATGGTTAAACTAAGCAAAAGCTGGCAAGATCACGCTCTCATTAGGCTGACTGAACGTCCGTCTAATCCCAAAAGTGGAACACTACTGTTAAAACCCTTGACAACACATTGGTGATAAGGCCACTAAAAAGTTATCTTATTTGTTCTGGCAAGTGTTCTTTTAATTTATTGCTTGTGGCATAGCCACTTAAGGCATTAATAACTAAAAACCTGTGGTACTCAAATAGCCTTGAGTGTTGAAGCCCAATTGCCAGTGAATAGGGACAAATGCCAGAGAACTCTAGAACTCATCTAAAGCACATCAGGTGAAATGTAAAATTGCCCATACTTATATCTACATTTAAAGGCTGGTTTGGATTAAAGTACTATAGGAAAGATGTTGTGAAAATTGAAAGGGTTGGAGGGTTTGAGCTATAGGGGCTATTTTCCCTGGAGCATTTTCTATGAAAATTATAGAATTTTATAAAATCGTGAAGGGCATGGATAGGGTGAATCGTCAAAGTCTTTTCCCCAGGATAGGGCAGTCCTAAACTAGAAAACATAGGTTTAAGGTGAGGGGGAAAAGATTTAAAAGGCAGTGTTTTCACACAGAGTGTAGTGCATTTATGGAATGGGCTGCCAGAAGAAGTGGAGGCAGCTGGTACAATTACAACATTTAAAAGGCACCTGGATAGGTATATGAATAGGAAGGATTTAAGAAAGATTTGGGCCAAGTGCTGGCAAATGGGACTAGATTAACATCTGGTTGGCATGGACAAGTTGGTTCCTTGCTGTACATCTCAAGAACTCCATTTAAAATGGTGTTCGGAGTACAGGAAAAGTGTATTTTGCTGAAAGGAATGAATAAACAAAGAACAATTGAGCATTAGAAAAAAAGTATAAATCAAGAACGCTGACAGCAGTAAGAGATGGAGATTATAATTAGGAGAGAAGTCAAATAATTCGATAGGCGAAGAGAAACTGAATCAAGGAATTTGAAACTATACAGTGAAATACTTTAGCTATATCTATATAAAATAGAAGATGATGGTGATGGAAATAAGAACATTATGGACACAGGAGACTGCAGGTAATGACAAGACTGGTAGAAATCTTAAGTAATTATTTTGTTTTTATATTTACCATGGGGATAGAATAAGTAGACTTGTCATTGGCTGATAAGCTAAAAAATGCATTGAACAAATCGAACGAAGTTGATAAAACCCAGTAGGTAGTCATACAGCACCAAAGAAAAAAAAAAAAAAAAAAGTCCTTCAGCTCAACTCAACCATGCCGACCAAGTTTCCTAGACTAAACTAGAAAAATTGAGTTGAGTTATTTGGTGACTGAGATTTTGATTTTCCATTTACCTGCATTTGGTCCATACCCCTCTAAACCTTTCCTTTCCATGTAACTGTCCAAGTGTCTTTTGTACCCAGCTCTAGGACATCCTCTGGAAGCTCATTCCATACATCCACCACCCTCTTAAAAAAAAAATAAAAGGGACCTGAGGGGTGACTAAGTCTTTCCCCTCTCAGCTTAAACTTGGGCTCTCTACTTTTGGACACCCCCACTCTGGAGAAAAGACCTTGGCTATTCACCTTACTTAGGCCTCTCATGATTTTGTAAACCTTTATAAAAAAGGTGGACAAATCAGTTGGATAAAGTTGTGGAGCCAGAGGACTGTGAAAAATTAATGTAATTTCTGTATTTGAAAGAGACAACAGAATATGCCTAGGGAATTATGAGTTGGCTGAACAGTCTTAAGGTAAATTCCTGATTCCTTTTTATTTTGAAAGAGTAGAACATGTAGAAATTGGAAATATAACAACAAACAAGCCAGCATGAATTTGAATTTTTGCATAGCCAACCCTAAATGAATTATTTGAACAACAAAACATGGACACTAGACAAGATTTTATAAATAAAAAAATCAAACATACATTTGAGATTTCATATAACAATTTACCAGATGAAAGAACATAGGATTCTACACTCGTTTTGCTTACTTTTTGGGCAGGTATCACTGATTAACTAAAATGCACAGAAAGGCAGCCATTGACTTTTCTGTGCCAACTGTCTATAAGAGCAAATCCATTAGTCTTATTTCTCCACTTTTTCCCCCAATAACCCAAATATTCTCTTTTCAAATGATTACTCAATTTCCTTATGAAATTGATAACTAAATCTATCATCACCACATTCCTTAGACAGTACCTTCCAAATCTGCAACTCCTATTATCTAAAAGAATAAAGATAGTACAAGAAAAGGAACCACTTGTACATTTCCCTCCAAACCACAACCATTCTGACTTACAACTGACTTGTCTATACAAAACAGTAGTTCAAGAAACTGGTACACCATTTTCCCCAAGGAAATCCATGGGAAAAAATGTACTTTAATGTGGAGGAAAAATGGTACTGAGGCAGTGATCAGATAGTCTGAAAATTCAGGAAACAAAAGTTTACCAAGCTTTACCTAATCCAACAATAAAAATATCTGACCAAAACGCATAATAGCGAGCTTCAGCTCAAGAACAATAATACATATGATTATTTACAACAATCTGGTTTAAATAGTTATATTGGACTTGAAACATGAATTCTGTTCCTCTCTCCACAGATGCTGCCAGGTCTGTTGAGTTTCTCCAGCACTTTATTTTTAAAAGTCAGATTTCCAGCATCTGCAATATTTCACTTATTAACAATTACAATGTTCTCTTAATTTGTCAACTTAGCTCAAACATGGAACTTGTCCAACACACTGTGTAACAAAAGATGCAAGATGACATATCAGGACCGGATACAAACCAGAAGGAAGCACAAGCTCCATCGTTTCCTCATTATATTCCAAATTCTTGGTTGGTACATCTGCCCCATCTGTGTGATCAGGATAACTCTCCCTATGTATACAGGGAAGCAAAATAAGAAAGTCAGCAAATAGATTTACAATAATCTCTCGTACTGGAATGCGATCGGATTTCACAATTAACCTTCTACTTTGCTTATAAAATACAAAGATATGCCAGAAAGCAGATATTTACAAGATAGTTTATTTATCTTGCCACTTACCAACACTTTTCAAGTGCACTTCTCCTATTTTGATTTTTATAGTGACTATGCTGTGCAAGTCTGTTTGACATGTGATAAGTTTGGAAATTGGGATTTAGGCCTTCACGGATTTTGTTTTATATGACTTGTTTGACACCATGTGGGCCAACAGTTAGAAGGATAACACAAACAGAAATCATAAAGGTTGCTGTTTGGAAATAGAAAAACAAAATACATCTGAGGCAAGGAATTTCAAAACAAGACAAACAAAAAACCTTAGCACCATTGGCTTGACACTATTTGCTTCTCAAGCAAATTGCATCTTTAGTTCTTTTCATCAGACATCAACATGTTCAAGATGCTTGAACAGAGTAGGGGGTACAAAAGGTTGGCGATGGAATAGCAGTTGCAAAGACATTAGGGCTAAGGGTGAGATGACAGTTGAAGAATGTGGAGAAAAGGGTCTAAGAGCAATTAGCCACTATAACATTAGCACCTCAAGGAGCTGGAAAGAATATTGATGAGCATAAGAACAAACAGGAACAGGCCATACACGACCAGTTCTGTACTACTTTCCAAAAAGATCATGGCTGATCTTGCGTTTCAATCCACTCCACTCTGCTCCACTATCCCTGTATTTACAGGGATATCACAGATCAGTCCATATCAGCCTCAAACATATTCAATGTTGGTGCATCCACATCATTTCAGGAAAAAGAATTCCAAAGAACCATAGATAGTAGGAACTGCAGATGCTGGAGAATCCAAGACAACAAGGTGCAGGGCTGGACGAACACAGCAGGCCAAGCAGCATCACAGGAGCGGAGAGGCTGACGTTTCGGGCCGAGACCCTTCATCAGAAAAGGGGGAGGGGAAGGGGGTTCCGAAATAAATAGGGAGAGAGTGGGAGGCGGATAGAAGAGGGATAGAGGAGAGGATAGGATAGGTGCAGAGGAAACAAATAGGTCGAAGAGGCGGGGATGGAGCCAGTAAAAGGTGAGTGTAGGTAGGGAGTTAGGAAGGGGATAGGTCAGTCCAGGTAGGACGGACAGGTCAAGGGGGCGGGATGAGGTTGGTCGGTAGGAGATGGAGGTGCGGCTTGAGGTGGGAGGAAGAACAGGTGAGGGAGGCAGGGACGAGCTGGACTGGTTTTGGGATGCGGTAGGGGGAGGGGAGATTTTGAAACTTGTGAAATCCACATTGATACCATTGGGCTGCAGGGTTCCCAAGCGGAATATGAGTTGCTGTTCCTGCAGTCTTTGGGTGGCATCGTTGTGGCACTGCAGGAGGCCCAGGATGGACATGTCGTCTGAGGAATGGGAGGGGGAGTTGAAATGGTTCGCGACTGGGAGGTGCAGTTGTTTATTGCGAACCGAGCGTAGGTGTTCTGCAAAGCGGTCCCTGAGCCTCCGCTTGGTTTCCCCGATGTAGAGGAAGCCACACCGGGTACAGCGGATACAGTATACCACATTGGCAGATGTGTAGGTGAACATCTGCTTGATGTGGAAAGTCTTCTTGGGGCCGAGGATGGGGGTGAGGGAGGAGATATGGGGGCAGGTGTAGCACTTCCTGCGGTTGCAGGGAAAAGTGCTGGGTGTGGTGGAGCTGGAGGGGAGTGTGGAGCGGACAAGGGAGTCACGGAGAGAGTTGTCCCTCCGGAAAGCAGATAAGGGTGGGGAGGGAAAGATGTCTTTGGTGGTGGGGTCGGATTGCAGATGGCGGAAGTGTCGGAGGATGATGCGTTGGATCCGGAGGTTGGTGGGGTGGTACGCGAGGACGAGGGGGATTCTTTTTTCGTTCTTATTGCGTGGACGGGGTGTGAGGGATGAGGTGCGGGAGATGTGGGAGACACGGTTGAGGGCGTTCTCGACCACCGAGCGGGGGGAAGTTACGGTCCTTGAAAAACGAGGACAACTGAGATGTACGGGAGTGGAAT